GTAATTTTAACATTCTCTCCCTCGGTACTGCGGCGAAGCGTACTGAGCTGGAGAAGGCGATGAGTGCACGCACGTGCGATGTGGAATGCATACCCATAGTTGGCGACCTGTGGCACCACATTCGCGACCAGGTGACAGCTGCTGCCGAGACCATCGGGCGCGCAAACTGTAAGCGGCCTGAGTGGTTTAATGAGAACAATGCGACGATTGGCGCATTGGTGTCGGAGAAGAATGCAGCATTTGCTGCACATGTCGCAGACCCCAGTGACTTGGGGAAGAGTGGTCAGTTTCGCGAACTTCGACGGCGACTGACCCGAGAGCTCCGTCGCATAAAAATGCATGATGGACGGAGAAGGCGAAGCAGATGGAATGCTACACAGAACGCTGCCAACACAAGGAATTCTTTGACTCCTTGAAGGCGGTGTATGGACCGAGATTGGAGCCGCTGAGGACACTGATCGATGGTAGCTCAGGCGCTACCTACACACAGACTGCAGACATAATGCAGATCTTGCAAAAACAATTTGACTGTCTCTTGAACAGCCGTTCAGAGATCGACTGGCCTACTCTGAACTGTCTGAAGCTGCACGATGTGAAGACTAGTCTGGCGGACACGCCGACACTGGATGAGACGCAGAGAGCACTTGCTCAGCTGTGAAACGGCAAGTGTGCCGGAGCCGACGGGATCACGCCTGAAGTATTGAAACACGGCGGGCCGTCGCTGTTGACTGCGCTGCACCAGTTGGTGCAACGTGTATGGATTGAGGAGGTGCCTCCTGAGCTGAAGGATGCCCTTGTGCTACCACTGTACAAGGGTAAAGGGAGCAAGCAATGTTGCACGAATTATCGTGGCATCAACTTGCTGAGTTGTGTGGGCAAGGTGATTGCCCGAATCCTGCTCAACCGCCTCGTCAGTCAGGTTGTGCGACCTAACATGGCGGAAGAACAATGTGGATTCCGTTCGGGTCGCAGCATGATATATATGGTGTTTGTGGCTCGTCAGCTGCAGGAGAAGTGCAGAGAACGACACCAGCCTTTGTACTCGCTTTTTGTTGATTTCACCAAGGTATTTGATATGGTAAAGCGCGAGGCATTGTCGCTGGTGTTGGGTAAGTTTTGTTGCCCGAGTAAGTTTGTAAGTTTAATTGAATGTCTGCACAGTGGTATGCGAGCGAGGGTGCAGCTGAGTGGAGAGACCTCGGATGATTTTGCAGTTGTCTCTAGTGTGAAGCAAGGCTGTGCCTTAGCTCCTGCCATGTTTATTATCTATCTTCATGCAATGATGTCTTGTGCTTTTGATGCCGCTTGTGCTTACGGTGTTCGCGTGGAGCACCGTATTGATGCTGGGTTGCTGAACATCCGTCGTTTCGGTGCGAGAACTCTAGTCCGTGACACAACCATCTGTATGTTGCTGTTTGCTGACGACTGTGCGTTGTTTTCACACAGCTCGGATGAGTTGCAGCATATGACTAGTGCTCTGGCTTCCACAGCGGCCAAATTCGGGCTCACCATTGAAACAAGCAAAACCGTCTGTCTCTTTCAGCATTCACCGGAGGTGCAATCTTCAATATTGCCGCGAATCAGCATTGGTGCTGCAGTACTGGAAACCACCTCCCGCTTCTGCTACCTTGGGAGTGTGATGTCGACTGATCAGCAGCTTCACAGTGAGCTTCGTATCCGCGTATCGAAGGCAGCGGCGGCATTCGGGAAGCTTGAGTACCGAGTTTGGAACAACCATCAGCTTACCATTGGCACGAAGCCGATGGTGTACAAATCCATGGTGTTGTCCGTTCTTCTATACGGCAGTGAAAAGTGGACGATGTACGGGCGGGATGTGCGATATCTCGAGTGGTTCCATCAGCAGTGTTTGCGACGGATTTTGCGCATCACTTGGGGAGACAGAGTTGCTGACACGGAAGTGTTGCGCCAAAGTGGAATGTATGCAGTGGACTGCATACTTTTGCTGAGACACCTGAGGTGGCTCGGTCATGTGTGCCGTATGGATTCATCGCGGATACCGAAACAACTCTTATACGGTCAGCTGAGTATTGAAAAGCGGCATGTGGGGAAACCAAGTTACGCTACCAGGACATGACCAAAGTGAGCCTCTCACGTTCTAATCTTGATTGCAGGTCATGGGAATCGAAGGCGGTTGATCGGCGTGTATGGCGCGATCTGATCATGAAGGCAGTTGCCGAAGTGCGGGAGAATGGCCTCATACATGCAGATAAGAAGCGACAAGTGCGGAAGCGGCAAGCAACGGTGGATTGTACTCCATCGATTCTAGCGCATGGTGCTGTAGCACCTTCGGTCGCGAGTACCTGAGTCAGGCAGGCTTAGTGAGCCATGAGCGAGGCCACTCGGGACCACTACCGAAGCGACGACGGGTCTTGCAGAGAACGTAGGCGTTTGTAAGTACGCTGCATTCGATTTAGTAACCGCGTGCATGCATGGTAAGGCTCCTTATTTCAGATGGTGGGTTTTCTATGTTGTCCTAATGCTTTTCTTTCTCATATAAATGTCTACCTGTACTCTCTTCTATAAACTTGCACACGTCGCTTAAGCCAGTTGTAGTAAATTTCGATAACATTTTCGCGCTTGTGGCATTTCCGTAAAATATACTTTCTGACCTCGTGAACTTACCTCCGATCCTTTGTAAACAACTTATTTCATATGCTCATTAATCTAATACTTTTGTCACGTTTCCTTATGCACTGCTCGATTTGTTTTCTTTCTCTCAAGTGATTGGCTGTTGCTTGATATCCCCGGTATGGTTGCGCTTGATGTGCATGTTGACAAGGTGCCTACCTGTCTATTACCCACTACCTCGTCCATACTGGCTCTAGGAGACAGTTGGTCGTTGCTGGAGGGGACGGGGTGTACGGTCCTTGTGGTCGTGTTAGGATCAAAGAGTGGTTCCATGCACTCAGTGTGGAGCGGACTACGGTCCAGTCACCGCCTTGTGTGTGCGCTTGATTCCCCAAATACAGCGTGCTTGTGTTTGTGTGTGAAGGAGTGTGGGCCGGCTCCGTTGATGAAACGTGGCCCCCATCCAAATGCCTCCTGGTGTTATTCCTTTGGATTTACACTGGAAATGGAGTGTGTGGTTGGAGCTGTGGATGGTGCAGCGCAAGCTACTCGTGGTTTCTCTGTAGGCGCAGGCGTCCTGTGGCTGGCCACAATGACAGGCAAATCCGAAACCGGATGCCGCCAACCATATGCCACCACACTCTATTCTCCACCAGGTACTAGTCAACTGCATATGTTTTGTTTCACCTTCGCCGCGGCTTTAATGATTACTTAGTGACTAATGCGGTCGGCGCGGCTGCCGTTGAATGAGACGACAGCAGGTAGCGTGATCCGATTTTACTAGGCACAATGTTCCCGCATTAATGGTTCAAGTTGTTTGATGACTATAGCAAGAGGTTCGTTGTTGTATTTGAGCGAAACATGGGCCAATGAGCATATGCATCCGAAGCACCAGCGTTTAAGAGTATTAGTAGCTATTATTTTGGGCGAAGCCCCCGGGTTAGTTGAGTGTCATTCCCCCACCCCCCACACACAAACCTGATTGGACCTAAAATGGAAAGGAATTAGGAGTTTGAGAAAACCATCGGCTATGCTGCACAATAATCAAAGTAGTTCTCACTCCTATCATACGTGTAAAATGAATGAGATTTCTAAAATGCGCTGTGCCCAGTGGACCATAGTACCATACAGTGAAAGGTAACCGTTGCTGTCGGCGACTATCTCACAAACCACACGAAGGGATGCGCTAGGGAATGAACGTAGAGAACTTGCTGAGGCTACACACATCGGCTGGCTCGAAGCGTCTGTTTGAGGTTTCACCTCCCTTGGCTTTTTAACCAGCAGAGGATTTATTCCACTAATCCCACCGTGGAGTAATGATTCACAGGTTATCCATTAGTCGAGGCACTGGTTGCTATAAACAAAGTTCTCGATGAATTTTCGCATTAGTCACTGCATATCTGGTAAGGCTCCGGACGACGGTTTTTGGGAGTCGTCCCATCTCTACCTCTTGTGGGGCTGGAAACCGCGGCTCTACGCATACGCGTTTGTGGTTTAGCACACTAGGTCACGGGGGATGTAGTGCACGCTGTTAGCTATTCTCAAAAGTTTGAAACGGTCGTCCAGTGCTTTTCCAAACGCGCAGTGACTGTGATGAATCCCTATCGAGAATTTAATCAAAATCCAACCTTTCACTAGGCTCTAACAAAAGTATTCGCGTGTAGTGTGCCCGAGAGGGGAGCCGATAATATCAAAGCTGAGTGGAAACATGTTTACGATTTTGCGTAACGGCTAAATTGCCAGAAAAGAAAATCACCCGACCGTTTGCGGCACCTTCCTACAAAACACGGATGATTCGTAATGTAGTATGACAGTTCGTGACTACTTAAAAAGGCAAGTTTTTATATGAGAGTGATTCAATTGTGCACACGAGGTATACTATATTATGGTCGAATAACACTTGAGAATCAAATGCATGTGATCAGTTGAAGAGTAATGAAGTGACTCATGGGACGTTTCGATATACATACACGCATTGACATCGGACCGGAGCTTCGTTCGTGCCTCCGCCCGTCAAACGTAGCCAAACTTCGGTTGTAGTAGTGTACAGCAGCAGCAGCAGTTCAACGTTTACCACAATACACCAGTCAGCTAACAAACCTCCTACAATCGCAACAACTTAGCAGTTGTATAGAGTTGAACGGTCTTAGATACAAAACCACCAGAACACGACAGACTTAAAGCGTGCAGTGCACTATTTGTGATTTTTGCAGAGTTTGCTAGCAATTTTAAAACTGCACTAAGCCTAGAGTTGAAACCTGATTTCCACTCGCAAGGAACTAGCACATGACCAACTGTCTCAGATAATCGAATCAAGTCGAGTGCATGATAGAACCGGATTTTAAGCGAATGAAGAACAATTCCTAGGATGGAGCAGTGCGTTCACGAGAACCCGTAAAAGTGACACGAACCTTCATTATGTTCGGTAAAGTTGCATAGCGTGGTTGGTTCAATCGCAGATCTGTAGTTATCACAGCAGGCAGTTTGATTTTCACCGTATTCAGTCCACCATCGATTTCGCGAACCACCTCTAGATAATCACCGGACCTGGTGATCTGGCAAATAAAACAAAAAGAAACGAAAAACCAGTACACGGTTACCCGCGGAACATCGATGACTTGTGCATGTCGAACAAATGCTCGTCAGGTCATGTAGGTGCTACAGGTGCAAACAATTCCCACGATCCATAGGGGGACATGCCGACGAAGCAAGGCCAAACGAACCACAATTCCGATGCGTAATTGAGACCGCGATGGTTCCCCCTACGGCTATGGGAAATCCGTTACTACAATCCATGAGGTTAGGCGTGCAAAAAGGGGGGTGTCGATCAAGCTCAGACTGGGGTGCCAACGCCGCCGTGCGCCATGTTCCCACCTAACGGGCCCAGACAAGTGGGGCAAGATCAGTCACGGCGCCGATATTTATCGGAGCCCGAGTACAAACGATGTTCAAAGCGGTCACAATGGGGCTGGATTGCAGGAGGACGGGATTTGTTTTGGGGGTCAACCATTGCATAAACAACTGGTGAAAGAGGCAAATAAATTGCATTGATCACGTGATCTACCGTACAATGACAGAGGACTTCGTTTGCATCCCAAATGGCGATGACAATGTGCCGAAGGCACAGCTCGGAGGAATCTGTGACCATACGCGTGAATTCGTTTGGATTTGTAAGTGAAAACTTCGCTCCGCTTCGAGTTTTGCCGGATGGGTAGATGGACGTACCTTGGACGTTAAAAACTAACAAATGACGTCGATGAGAAATTGCTTGGCGCATCTAATGAATCAGGCTACACATACGACGAAAGAGAACTGCTAACCATTGACTACAAAGGAAGAACGCCTGTACTAAATCAAATGAGGGTGTCCAACGAAACTGGTGCCACCTGAGTGAAGAAATATTCAGTGACAAATAGACTGCTCACGGCTGTAGAAATGAGATAGATAAAGGGAAGTACAGATCGCCCAACTGGTTACAGGATGAAAGTTCCACTAATGGCGTTGCAGGCGAAATCTCCGAAGAAAGTGGGATTGTGCTGGATGGTGATCGTATCCTGAGGCCGAAATCTTCGAAGGCTGACGGAAAGTAGTCCACCGGTGTATCCTTGGGCTGCTACAGTCATTTACAGTACAGTACATGTTGCCCTGTATTACCACCAGAGAGAGGCTGGGAATGTGACGAGGTAGCAAAAATGTATGAAGTATTTCTAATAGATAGTATGGCTTTCGAAAGCCTCTGGTTGTCTCTTGAAGCCGAGAGCGTAATTATTCTAGAGACACTGAGGCCTGCAATTTGGTTTTCAGTAAGAAACCTTTCGGACGGGGCCTTTAAACCGGCTTTGGCTTTTTTCGCCGAACATCACTTTTTTACTTTATTTACTGTACGTATCTCATTTTTGCAAGATTAAGCTGACAAATATTTTGTTCAAGCAACTTCCAAGGTCATTGAGATATCGCGCACGATCCGCGATCTATTGTCATTGGACACAACACTTTACGTCAATTGGAACGAATCTTGAAGAAAGGTTTTAACGAAACCTTGTCCGTCTTGAATGGATACAAATCGCGTAGAGTTAGTTCAACTTTTTGGGATCGTTGCTCGATCGATCAATGATACAGTGCATCCTTCTCATTTTTCTGCCCATTTGTAAACCTAGCATTTTCCATGGTAACTTTTTGATAAATTTACAGTTGATAATGTAACGTGCTGAAAATGCACCAATTTGGGAACATAAAGCTTATACTGACTTGACTTACTACGTGTGTGTAGCGGAATACTGCATGAATGTTCCAGTAGAGAATCAATCATTCGATGAGGAACATTCATGCGCTTACCGTAGTAGTTTGACTTTGGGTTACTACAGTTACCACCAGCGTTATTGGGGTCGGCGGCTAGTTAAACTGGTTTTCTGTGACCCAGGTTGCAACAAGCACGCGGACAAGGCCAATTTCAGTTATCTTCACATAAAATATGAGCCGGACTGTGTGACATAATAATAATCCAACGGAAAACTGATTACACTACTTGAGTGCACAAATAGATGATGGTGACCTACTAGGGAAACAAAGTGCCGAATGATATGAGTTCGTAATACTTATATCGCATTGTCGAGAGATAAACTGTGAGTATAGGTCCACGAAATAACTTTGCTGTTGGAACAATAAAGAACTGGTAGGATCCAAGTAGAAAAGTCAAGACTTGACAAATCACGTGGGACGGTGTATGTAAAGTATAGAGGTGCTAAAATTATGACAACAAAGTGAAAAGTCCATATGTGGAAGTACCATAACATCCACGTTAACGCACAAGCAAATATGTTTACATGTGGGTTTGTTAGCGTCACGCTTGACTGCGTCTTGTCATCACTCAAAGAACAGAATTCAAATCAAGTGATATAGATGGTATAATGCGTCATCTAGTCGTGTTTTATAAATAGGCAGCTTCGGTACAGAAATGAGGCAAGTAGGAGGAGCTCTCCACCGCAGACAAATTCAAAGCGCTTAAACATTCCAGCGGCATTCCAAGAGGATATAATATTTGGCGATTTTCATCTGGTTACCCCTGAGATTTTTGCTCGGATAAGTTGATGAAGTGGTCGCAAAAGTAACATCGGATACGTCAGGATGAAATCACTACGTAGATGGCGATAACTTCTGGGGTACACTCCCAAGACTTTCAGTCGTAGTTGGTATGGAAGGTCGAATAGTCTCTTCACATTTCGGCTGCCGGTCACTGTGGAGTATCGAGTGCAGACAGATTGCGTTTCAGCTATGGTTGTCAGTCCTGAATAGCGTACTCCACATAGTGCCTCATATATGCAGTGGGCATTTGGGTGAAGATAGAGGGTCGGACCTTCCGAACGCCCTCCCTAAGTGACCAGCATGTTGGTTCACTGTTTGGGACAAATTCAGACTACTCCTAACAGCCGAGGTTGTCTTGCATCCTCACCCGCAAGTTGCACTCCTACGAGGCGTTTTCGAGATGTGGTCTCCCAGCTTATATTCCCTACTTAGTTGAAGACGTAGAGGAAATAATGTGCATTTGTTTGCGCTAAACTGGAGTAGATTTGCCTTTGTCCCTTCAGTGGAGACAAATCCCGTCCTTCCTGATTACCCATCGCGCGACACATCTCGATGTCGTCAGCTAAAGCCCGGAATTCGACTCACCGACACAAGCCTGGTCGTTAATGAATATCAATGAAAAGAGTAGCCCCAACACTGATCCTCGTGGAACATTGTCTTCCCCTCAGTCTGATCGCAGAACTAACTCCGAAATCGCACGCACAGCCGCCGATGAAAAAGAAGTATCCGATTCACCGAAGGACAGAGTTCACAATAAGGTAAGCCCGTAACATTTGAAGAAGGCTGCGGCGATCTAAGCGTCCGAAGGTTTTAGAAATATCTAGCTACATTGCATCATTGCGATCCCATTATTTACTGTTTGGTTCAATTGCCACGCGCAGTCAATCGTGTGGTAGTACGTGGCCGGTACTGGGAGAAGCCGTATTTCTCTAGTGCCATTATATCGGGTCCTTCTAACTTACCCAATAGTGTCACAGCTATAATAACCTATTCCAATAGTATTGGAAGGAGACGTACTAAGCAATGTTTGCGGGTTCAGAACGACCATCACCCATAAAAATCGAGGTAATGATACATGAATTGAAACTGTCGTTCATCCAATTATCTTTAAAAGAATCGGATAATGGCTAGGCTATCCCAGCAGCTGCTAACTCTGGCGCATACCGACGAATTTTGTCGAATCTGCGGGAAATGGGTGCACAACGATGGCAACTTCCTCAATACAGTCGCTGAATTAAAGATAACGTAAGTGCATTTTTGCATCTGGGGGAACGGGACAGGTGTGTGACACATGTTAGAGGTAAGTCCTAATGTTAAAGCATATTGTAAGCGTAAACACCTAACACAAACAAACAGCGTGGTTACGAACTTGAACCAGATAGAAATAAATAAATAAATAAATAAACTTTTATTCTCGACAAGGCGAGGCACACCTGTACAGGCATGATCATGCTTAGCTAACATAGTGTGATCAAAAATGTACAAAAAGTACATGTTGGCACAACAGTGTATGTAAATGTATGAGTGTATATACGTATGTAATTTTGTATGAATGTAGCTTGTGTCTTTGAATATGCCGGAGCATTTTTGACTGTCTGTTATCCTCGGGAATGTGGGCATAAGCGATTGATGTCTGCGAGTTGGATAGCACTTTCCGGATATCCAGCGTGTATGGGTGTATATACGTATGTAATTTTGTATGAATGTAGCTTGTGTCTTTGAATATGCCGGAGCATTTTTGACTGTTTGTTATCCTCCGGAATGTGAGCAAAAGCGATTGATGTCTGTGGGTTGGATAGCACTTCCGGATAGCTACGGGCCAGTGACTTTATTTTGTGGCGAGTCACATCCGCCACGTCGCAGTGTTGTTAAACAGACATTTGTGGCTTTTTATAGGGAGAACGCTTGCCAGGCGAAAACCCACCACGTCCTGGAACACTGCCGCCGAACTATTTGCTGGAACCGGTTAAACCCGAACCACCCAGCTGGCACCACGAGGATGTTGTTCGGCTAGCCAGCCTGGCGCGTATTCCAGTTTGTCGATACACACCTCGTCAATTTTCTATCTTCATCCTGACCATCTGAGGGAATTTATTCAGCGCTAACTTCCGCTTGTTACATTATACCTATACCTACAGGTATCCAATGTATTAGGAATGCGTTATTGCCAGTGATGTATCGACATGATACCGTTAACATGTGTTTTTGAGAGGCGAAAATTATTATTCCTTCTTGTCTTATTTGCCCCCATGAAAATAGTGAATATCATTTTGCCAATGGCCTGAAGGCACCTTGTCATTTGACTGTGTACTGAGTAGGGTCTTTAAATCGGCCGCTGCCCTTTTTTAGCTGAATATCCTTTTTACATTATCTAGTGTATGTAACGCAGTTTCGCAAGATTACGCAGATAGATATTTTGCTCAATCTGCTTTCAAGGTCACTGAGACCCTCTACTATATTGTGAATGTGCAAT